AAGGGGAAAAACTGGATGTACATTTCCAAAATATAAGATAAAAAAACAAAATAAAACCTACATACAGCAACAGTGTTTGTGTTGTGTAGGCTCCTATGATGTAAGTAATGGGCCCCACCTGCTAGCCTGCTCCCTAAAATATCACTAGTTTGCTCATTTCTATATACAGTATAGGGTGCCTACATTCTGCATGGACTGGTTGCATGGCAACATGTGCAAATGGCTTAGATACCTATTAGGTCCATAAATTACCATATAGCATATATTCAACACAAAAAACAGCAACAATTTGTTGTTGACAAAAGGACAGCTGGATATATAAAGGGCGCCATTACCTTCAGTAGCTTAGGGTCTCATCAAAACCTAAATCCGGCCCTGGGGGGGTGATGGGCGGCTGAAATATGCTCAGAGTTGAGAGTAGATTTCATGCTCTTTTATTCCGCTCATAGTGGTGAGGAGGAATGGAAGTTTCCCCCAGATTATCTGCTTTATATACATTATTTACACAATGGGGCCCACGTGATTGGGCTAATTCCGGGATTCTCCTGTTGGCCAATCAGGGTTGCGGATTCACTTCCACCTGGAGCTGGATTGCGTGGCTCCTGTGGAAGAATCATACTGCTGCCTTCTGGATCCTATTGTTCTAGAACCAGACTGCTGCATTCTGAATCCTACTGTTCTAGGACCAATCAGACTGCTGCATTTTGGATCCTATTCAACTCTGTCCTTAAAGAAATGGGAGTGCCTGATCACCTCATCTGTCTCCTGAGAAATCTCTATGTGGGACAATAAGCTACAAGTTAGAACTGGAGTATGGAACCAACTGACTGGTTCAAAGATTGGGCAAGGAGTTAGCGGCAAGGCTGATATATTTGGTCTCCCTGCTTTTATTTAACTTATATGCAGAATTCATCATGCGAGAGGCTGGGCTGGATGAATCCCAAGCCGGAATTAAGATCGCCGGAAGAAATATCAACAACCTCAGATATGCAGATGACACAACCTTGATGGCAGAAAGTGAGGAGGAATTAAAGAACCTTTTAATGAGGGTGAAAGAGGAGAGCGCAAAATATGGTCTGAAGCTCAACATCAAAAAAACGAAGATCATGGCCACTGGTCCCATCACCTCCTGGCAAATAGAAGGGGAAGAAATGGAGGCAGTGAGAGATTTTACTTTCTTGGGCTCCATGATCACTGCAGATGGTGACAGCAGTCACGAAATTAAAAGACGCCTGCTCCTTGGGAGAAAGGCGATGGCAAACCTAGACAGCATCTTAAAAAGCAGAGACATCACCTTGCCAACAAAGGTCCGTATAGTTAAAGCCATGGTTTTCCCAGTAGTGATGTATGGAAGTGAGAGCTGGACCATAAAGAAGGCTGATCGCCGAAGAATTGATGCTTTTGAATTATGGTGCTGGAGGAGACTCTTGAGAGTCCCATGGACTGCAAGAAGATCAAACCATCCATTCTTAAGGAAATCAGCCCTGAGTGCTCACTGGAAGGACAGATCGTGAAGCTGAGGCTCCAATACTTTGGCCACCTCATGAGAAGAGAAGACTCCCTGGATGTTGGGAAAGATGGAGGAGAAAGGTAGTGAAATCTCTTTGTAGCAAGGGTCCAGCAAACCTAAACAAGGCAGTCAGTTGAATTAAATTCTTCAAACAGAAGTAAAATCAGAACATATTTAATAATTATTGTACAAAAGTTGAGTGCCTCCCCCCCCCTCTGCTGAGCAGTGGCAAAGCCCATGGGTTCTAGAACTCACCCAGGATCCCCACAGGTGGATCCCAGTCTCTCTTCCTCCTCCTCCTTCCCAAACCTCTTGCTACCAGATTCCCTTTTCCTTTCCTCAAATACACAGTTACCATGCAACCTTCCTTACCCCAGCCTTTTGTGCATCTGGGGGGGGGGGGGAAGGACAATCATTTGCATTGCCAATGACCCTCAATTTTTCTTAATGGCCTTAGCTTGGTCAGGTTCCTCTGCAGTTTGTATTCTCCCTTCACATCCCAAATAATCAAAATCCTACCATTTATTAATTTCTAGGGTTTAGGGGGTGGGGTTCCACTCCAAATCTATAACATTATTTTTAGTAGCACCCAAGGCAGCCAATGGAAGGAATGATTTTAAATTACAATAAAACAATTTTAAATGAAAGAAGTTTTTATCGAAGTCAAACAGTTACTTAATGAAAGCTTGAGAGTAAATAAAGACTTGAGAACATCTGAAAACATAACTACAGTCAGGAAGAAGATTCCTAAATGAAACTGAACAATTTTGTGATTTTCTGTTAAATCCATTACTCCAGCACGTGGAAACATCTTTTTAAGGTAATAGCTGATGCGGTGGATCAGTGCTCGGAAAACAACAGTAATCTGAAGAAGCAAACAGCCGCCACCACCACAGTTGGTTCTGTTAGTCCACTGTAACAGCATACCATGCTTGTTAGAACTCACAACACAGTGTAAAAATCTAAGAGTGCAGAACACTTCTATCTAGATTTTTTAAAATGAAAAAAAAAGTTTAGCTAAAAAACTGCACTAAGCTCCTCTCTACAACTTGCTAAAAATGGCAATGGAGGAATCCTTAACATTATGTTTAACATTGTGTGTAAGTATTAGGATTTCAGGTTACGCAGGAAACAAGCAAAGGAGCTAAAAAATAAGAACCGCTAGTTAGCTTTGTCCGTCCTTTTGCTATCACTGACTAGAGCATACAAATCACATAAGGCCAAACAAAGTGCAACTGTTACATTACAAATGTTAACATCCTTCTTAAAACAATGTAATGTGAACTTCTTTGTTTTGGATCAAGTGTTCTGTGTTGCATTTTTTTTAAATATATTTTTCCATATAAGCAGCACAGTGCTATATCTCCTAAGGCTCTGTCTTACAAATGATTGGAGAGTTCCAATTAGTGCTAGAAAGCTGCCTTCAATGATCTGACTATGAAGGTCTGTCAGGCTCCCTATTATTACAAACTACCTTACTGACTGACTTTCTTTAAAAAACAATCACACACACACACTCGTTCAATATTCAGTCTGTTACAGTTACACAATAAAAGTAACCTAAGCTGCAGTCCTGTTTACTAGGCCTCTCCAAATGCTTGTCTTTCAATGTTTGGACACATCTCCCATCAGTCCTGACAGTATGGCCAATGGTCAAGGATGATGGGAATTTTAGTCCAGCCAGCATCTGTAGAGCCACATATTTCCCAGTCCAAATAAAACATTACTGACTGAAAACAGCAAAGTGTGTTTTCAGATAGAGTCGATAGTTATGTCTGAACTGGACCAATTTTAAATTAAACAGTTCTGCTTTAGCAATAAAATAACACTTCCAATCAGTAACTTGAATGTCTTAAGACTGTAAGTGTTTTGTTTGTATTGTATTGCTCAGTTAACTTCCAATTCCTTAGTTCTTGTGAGGTGCCACCAGCGACTCCAATGGGGTTTTGTTCGTATATCTTCAGATTTAAGATGAAAATGGATTTCATACAGCTGGTAGTGTATGAGAAGAAACAGGCCCTCCATTTTTTTTCACATAAAGAAAGGTTATTCACAGATGATTTCTATAATAACCTTATTTTAATACCTCAGGATTTTAAAAATATTACCTTTGAAATATTGAAATTTTCTTTTGTATTTATAAATAGTGTTGGTCATTGTTATGCAATTTTTAAAGCTTATTGTTTTCAATGATTTTAATGTATACTGACTTGGTTGTTTTACGAGTTACCGGTTTTATAAATATTCTTATTAAATAAATAAATATATACATTTATAAGAATAATTTGTAAGAAGATTAAGCAGCAGAAAAAGAGCGAGAGATATATGGCATAAGCTTGTTCCACATTTAATAAAGATTCTAGTGTAAAGCCAAGAGAAGTAACAGGACCACTCCATTTCCTCTTGTCACGCCCCACCTAAAGAGTACGTGGTCCAAGTTTGGGACATCAAATTAAAGGCCACTGGCAAGTTAGGAATGTGTGCAGAGGATTGGTGGCCAACAAAGCTCAAGGGTATGGAAACCAAGCCTTATGAGGAATCGTTGAGGGACTTGCATATGTTTAGCCTAGAGAAGACAGAGGTGGTATGATCGCCATCTTCAAATATCTAGAAGACTGTCACATGAAAGATGAAGCAAGCCTTGTTTTCAGTTGCTGCAGAGGGTAGAACACACACCAATGGATTCAAATTACAAGAGGAGATTCAGAATAAACATGTTAGGAACTGCCTGAGCTGTTTGACGTGGAACAGACTACCTTGGAAGATGGTGGGCTCTCCTTCGTTGAGGTTCTTAAAACAGGTGGATGACCAATCGCCAGAGATTTTCAGCTGTGATTCTGTGTTGCAGGAGTTGGACAAGATGACACTGTGGGTCTCCTCCAACTTACAAATATATGATTCTATAAATCCTATTTATTGAACTGAGATGGCTACAAACTGTTGTCTATCCTGGGATCACCTTGAAGAAGTTAGTGTTCAAGGTAGCAGCCCTGCACAGATCAATCCCCGGAAGAGCTGGAAAGCTGTGTTCCTGCCTTTTATTTACTCACACCAGCACCACCCCTTTCCCAGGAAAGGTCTGCTACGAAAAAACAACAAACACATGTAACTAACCCACTTCCAACAGCACATTATTCAACAAGAGCAGAACCTGTTTTAACCCCTCACCCTTCTCCATCCAAACTAAGGCTCCCTGGCTGCTTTTGCTACAGCAGACTCAGCAAGCCTTTCTTCAAGTTCCTCCTGGACAAGGTCTCCTGGAGCAGCCAGAACCGGTACATGGGCCGGAGGGGGGGCTGCCCTGAGGAGGAAAAGGCCCTGCTTTCCTGGCTTGGCAGGGGTTGGACTCGATGGCCCTTGTGTCTCTTCCAACTCTATGAAAAGGCCCTGCGCGCAGAAAGCTAGCCGCTTAGCGCCCGCCGCTTCCTTCCACGCACACCTGAATGCCCTTTGTGTGAACGTGCACCGACCTGGCTTGGGTCTGGGCCCGGTCTTGTTGCAGAGGGAAACCCTGGAGAAACAGCCACAGCACCTGCCACAAAGAATTATGAAATATATTAAACTCCACCACATTCAGACTATAAGGAGTTCAGTTTTACAAAGTCACCAGATTGAGTACATCAGAATACCTCTTTTTGGTGCACCATTCTGCATTCCAATCCGTGGTGAACTGGGATTGACTCTGTTCAATATATCTGTTTAAAAGTGAGAGTTGTTTAAGTCTGTTAATTAGTTCAACTAGAAAGTAAGGAGATGTAAAATATACTTGTGTGAAACATATGGAAGAGAATGCAAACAAATCAAGCTACTCCTCACCCATGAGGTTACAGCAATTCTAAAATAAGTACCCAAATGTTTGGCAATCTTCACACAAGTAAAGCCAGTTGCTAAATTCCTTTCAAATACCCCCTAAGAATGAAGCAGGACAATCACAGCCATGTCCTCTTCAGTAAGCCTGTTCTAATTAAAGTATCTTTATCTTGCAGTTTTACTACACACACACACACACATACAACTATGCAGTTGGGTTTCCCAAAACATCTCCAACACTTGGTTAAAAAATTAAAACTTGTATGAGCAAGTCATTCATTAAAATGGGATCCCAGGAGCTTGGATGTGCTAGTTGTGTAAGCCTTTATCTTAACTGTCAAAATAAGGGTGCAACTGCACACTTAATTAAAAGTAAAATTATGTTGAAGTCAGAAATATGGACATGATCAGGGTTCCAATCATCCACTGAGTTACAGAGAAAAGCAAAATCATTTTGGTAGTTGTTTCAGAAATCACTTATTTTGGGGCACTCTTCATTTATACAAGGTGCCAGAAACCCTCAACTGGAACAGAAGCATTCAATACCAAGACATATCACTAAGAGCAGTATTTTTCAAAAAATGTCACCTTACAGGTATTGGATGGTTTATGAGCTCAGGATCTCCCCGACAAATATGGGTTCATCGTCATCATCATCATCCACAACAATTGGTTTCACTTTCTGTTGCCATGGCTCAAGCTCTTCCTCTTCGCATTCCATAAATAGCTCTGCCATCATGGAACTAGATAACAAATAATAGTTTTGTGTAAAACCACTTAGAGGTTTTATGTAAACCACTTGGAGGTTCTAATGATTAAGAGGTATATAAACCATGTAAAATAAACAAAACGTATTAATAAACAAATACAAAAATAATTAAGAAGATTAATAACCACGAGATTAAGCGCATGCCTCTTGAGGGCAAGTGCAACTCCATCGAGAACAATCTGCCCAAATCCCAGAACCAGGAACTAGCCACCCACAAGGCCTCTGTAATGTCAAAATTCGCCCCCCCCAGCTATGAGATAGGTTTTAGGTTATGTTATGCCTTAATAGGTCATGTTATATTCTGGATTATGTTATGTTTTTATAGATTATGTCTGAATAGGATGAGAGTGTCGGAGATACGTGCAAATTGTATATGTGAACCCGGTCTTGGGTGGGTGTTTGATTTTCGTTGTTGTGTATACTGTGTATATACGGACAATGACAATAAATTTAATCTATCTATCTTACTGGTCCTCATCCAGCCAACCACTGAATCCAGGCACCAGTGCAGGGCTTGCATAGTCACACCCAGCTCAGATTAGAAGAGAAATAGAGATGGGCCTATTGATGCAAATTGATGGCACCACACTCTCAATCTCCTAATGATGCTCCAAACACATTCATATAGAGTTGGAACAGCTCTGGGGTCAAAATGATACCCACAGAGCAACTGCCAAGGAGATGAAGTGCAGCAACCCAATGCCACCCCACTTGAAACTGTCCTATAGGTAAGCAGTGGAACCAGTGTAACACCACCCCCAACCCAAAACCCAGTCTAAGATACCGTAGTCAATGGTATCAAAAGCTACCACCAAGATTTGAACAGAAGCAAGAGGGTTTGTACACTTCCCCAAAAAAGATTATTCATTAGGGCAACCCAAGGCTAACACAGTCTTGAAACCAGGATTATTAAACTGCAATAGATGAAGGCAACAAGTTTCCTGCTCAAGGACCTTCCCAAAAAGAGTGTATTTGTGACAGGGTTGTGGTGATCATAAACTTCTGCAGCCAGGGTATTCTGTTTCTTTCCAGAAGCAGCCTTGCTATCTCCTCATTTCACAAATTATATATCGTCTCTGCCTCAGGTAAGTAAGAGCAGGTTTATCACAACAAATACTCTACTGTAGAGCTTAAGGCTTAATAACTGTATGTTGACAAGCCATACTTTGGAACATAGGAAGCTGCCTTATACACAATCAGATCACTGGTCCATCTAAATTCTGTATTGTCTACACCGCATGGCAACAGCTTTCCAGGATTTCAGACACAGGACTTCTCTAACTACTGATTCCAGGGATTGAAACAGCTGAACACAAACCTTACACACAACAAATGAGTAATGGTCCCTTGAAAAACACTCAGGTGGGCAGGGCAGTTTGCATGCAGCAAAGAGAAGGATAAACAGAAAGGTAGTGAAATCTCTTTGTAGCAGAGGTCCAGCAAACCTAAACAAGGCAGTCAGTTGAATTAAATTCTTCAACAGAAGTAAAATCAGAACATATTTAATAATTATTGTTACAAAAGTTGAGTGCCTCCCCCCCCCTCTGCTGAGCAGTGGCAAGAGCCCATGGGGTTCTAGGAACTCACCCAGGATCCCACAGGTGGATCCCAGTCTCTCTTCCTCCTCCTCCTTCCCAGAACCTCTTGCTACCAGATTCCCTTTTCCTTTCCCTCAAATACACAGTTACCATGGCAACCTTCCTTACCCCAGTCTCTGTTTGCATCTGGGGGGGGGGGGGGAAGGACAATCATTTTGCATTGCCAATGACCCTCAATTGTTTCTTAATGGCCTTAGCTTGGGTCAGGTTCCTCTGCAGTTTGTATTTCTCCCTTCACATCCCAAATAATCAAAATCCTACCATTTATTAATTTCTAGGGTTTAGGGGGTGGGGTTCCACTCCCAAATCTATAACATTATTTTAGTAGCACCCAAGGCAGCCAATGGAAGGAATGATTTTAAATTACAATAAAACAATTTTAAATGAAGTAAAGTTTTTATCGAAGTCAACAGTTACTTAATGAAAGCTTGAGATAAATAAAGCTGAGAACATCTGAAAACATAACTACAGTCAGGAAAGAAGATTCCTAAATGAAACTGAACAATTTTGTGATTTTCTGTTAAATCCATTACTCCAGCACGGTGGAAACATCTTTTAAGGTAATAGCTGATGCGGTGGGATCAGTGCTCGGAAAACAACAGTAATCTGAAGAAAGCAAACAGCCGCCACCACCACAGTTGGTTCTGTTAGTCCACTGTAACAGCATACCATCTTTGTTAGAACTCACAACACAGTGTAAAAATCTAAGAGTTGCAGAACACTTCTATCTAGATTTTTTTAAAATGAAAAAAAAAGTTTAGCTAAAATAACTGCACTAAGCTCCTCTCTACAACTTGCTAAAAATGGCAATGGAGGAATCCTTAACATTATGTTTAACATTGTGTGTAAGGTATTAGGATTTCAGGTTACGCAGGAACAAAGCAAAGGAGCTAAAAATATAAGAACCGCTAGTTAGCTTGTCCGTCCTTTTGCTATCACTGACTAGAGCATAACAAATCACATAAGGCAAAACAAAGTGCAACTGTTACATTACAAATGTTAACATCCTTCTTAAACAATGTAATGTGAACTTCTTTGTTTTGGATCAAGTGTTCTGTGTGCATTTTTTTTAAATATATTTTTTCCATATAAGCAGCACAGTGCTATATCTCCCTAAGTGCTCTGTCTTACAAATGATGGGAGAGTTCCAATTAGTGCTAGAAAGCTGCCTTCAATGATCTGACTATGGAAGGTCTGTCAGGCTACCCTATTATTACAAACTACCTTACTGACTGACTTTCTTTAAAAACAATCACACACACACACTCGTTCAATATTCAGTCTGTTACAGTTACACAATAAAAGTAACCTAAGGCTGCAGTCCTGTTTACTAGGCCTCTCCAAATGCTTGTCTTTCAATGTTTTGGACTACATCTCCCATCAGTCCTTGACAGTATGGCCAATGGTCAAGGATGATGGGAATTTTAGTCCAGCAGCATCTGTAGAGCCACATATTTCCCAGTCCCAAATAAAACATTACTGACTGAAAACAGCAAAGTGTGTTTTCAGATAGAGTCAGATAGTTATGTCTGAACTGGACCAATTTTAAATTAAACAGTTCTGCTTTAGCAATAAAATAACACTTCCAATCAGTAACTTGAATGTCTTAAGACTGTAAGGTGTTTTGTTTGTATGTATGTGCTCAGTTTAACTTCAATTCCTTAGTTCTTGTGAGGGTGCCACCAGCAGACTCAATGTTTTGTTCGTATATCTTCAGATTTAAGATGAAAATGGATTTCATACAGCTGGTAGTGTATGAGAAGAAACAGGCCCTCCATTTTTTTTCACATAAGAGAAAGGTTATTCCAAGATGATTTCTATAATAACCTTATGTTAATACCTCAGGATTTTTAAATATTACCTTTGAAATATTGAATTTTCTTTTGTATTTATAAATAGTGTTGGTCATTTGTTATGCAATTTTAAAGCTTTATTGTGTTTCAATGATTTTAATGTATACTGACTTGGTTGTTTACGAGTTACCGGTTTATAAATATTCTTATAAATAAAACTAATTTTCAGAAGATATTTGATTAAGCAGCAAACAGAATGGAAGGATATGGGCATAATGCTTGTTCCACATTTAATAAAGTCTAGTGTAAAGGCCAAGAGAAGTAACAGGACCACTCCATTTCCTCTTGTCACGCCCCACCTAGAGTACTGTGTCCAGTTTTGGACATCACAATTAAAGGCCACTGGCAAGTTAGAATGTGTGCAGAGGATGGTGGCCAACAAGCTCAAGGGTATGGAAACCAAGCCTTATGAGGAATCGTTGAGGGACTTGCATATGTTTAGCCTAGAGAAGACAGAGGTGGTATGATCGCCATCTTCAAATATCTAGAAGACTGTCACATGAAAGATGAAGCAAGCCTTGTTTTCAGTTGCTGCAGAGGGTAGAACACACACCAATGGATTCAAATTACAAGAGGAGATTCAGAATAAACATTAGGAACTGCCTGAGCTGTTTGACGTGGAACAGACTACCTTGGAAGATGGTGGGCTCTCCTTCGTTGGAGGTTCTTAAAACAGGTGGATGACCATCTGCCAGAGATTCTTCAGCTGTGATTCCTGTGTTGCAGGGAGTTGGACAAGATGACACTGTGGGTCTCCTCCAACTGTACAAATATATGATTCTATAAATCCTATTTATTGAACTGAGATGGCTACAAACTGTTGTCTATCCTGGGATCACCTTGAAGAAGTAGTGTTGCAAGTGTAGCAGCCCTGCACAGATCATCCCCGGAGAGCTGAAAGCTTGTTCCTGGCCTTTATTTACTCACCACCAGCACCACCCCTTTCCCAGGAAAGTCTGCTACGAAAAACAACAAACACATGTAACTAACCCACTTCCAACAGCACATTATTCAACAAGAGCAGACCCGTTTTAACCCCTCACCCTTCTCCATCAAACTAAGGCTCCCTGCTGCTTTTGCTACAGCAGACTCAGCAAGCCTTTCTTCAAGTTCCTCCTGGGACAAGGTCTCCTGGAGCAGCCAGAACCGGTACATGGGCCGGAGGGGGGGGCTGGCCCTGAGGAGGGAAAAGGCCCTGCTTTTCCTGCTTGGCAGGGGGTTGGACTCGATGGCCCTTGTGGTCTCTTCCAACTCTATGAAAAGGCCCTGCGCGCAGAAAGCTAGCCGCTTAGCGCCCGCCGCTTCCTTCCAAGCACACCTGAATGCCCTTTGTGTGAAAGCGGTGCAGCCCCGACCTGGCTTGGGTCTGGGCCCGAGATGCTGCCGATGCTGCGCGGAGGGCCGCCGCCGCCGCCCCCCTTCCCCCGGGGCTCCAGCCGCCTCCCCATCCCCAGAGAGGGAGCTTCCGCCAAACCAGGCCCAGCCCTCGCCCGCCTCCCCTCGCCGGCCGCTGGGCCCCCCTCGCCAGGCGAAACCCAGGCCCGTTCAGGCCTCACTCTGCATAGCCGCCCCGCAGGCAGGCAGGGCCACCGAGGAGGAGGAGGCGGCGGCGGCGAGCTGGCCTGCCTAAGCCACGGGGTCACCGCCAGGCCGGGCTTCCCTCCCAGCCAAGATGGCGGCGGCGGCGGCGGCGGTCTCGTAGGCAACAATCCCTCCTGAGGGACCACCGTGAGGGAGAGCAGGCCCGGGCCGGGCGGGCGAGGGAGGGAAGGGGCTTACCGTGCTGCGCCTGAGGAAGGAGGACGAGCGGGGCGGGCGGAGGGGAGGCGGCGCGCGGGCCGCCCGGGAGGGTGGAGGAAAGAGCGGGGCAGGCCGAGCCTGTGGAGGCGCCGCGGCAGCAGCGACGATGGCGGCAGCAGCAGCACCGCCTCCAACTCCTCCTCCTCCTCCTCCTTCGCGGCCTCCTGGCGGCGGGCGGGCGCGCGAGGGGCGTGGCGTGAGGCCGCCGGGCCGCCCTCCGCTCCCCTCAGGGCGGCCGCAGTCCCTGGCGAGGGCGGAGGCAGCTCCGGGTACCAGCCGCTGGGAGAGGCGAGGAGGGCGGCCCTCCCTTCTTTCCCCCTCCGGAGGCCGAATAACGCGAGAGGAAGGCGCTGTCGACGCAGCGCGGAGGGTTTTAGGCTGCGGAACTGGCCGCCACAAGACGGGGGTGGGGGTGGGGATCAAGCGGTGCCGGATTTACGTATAAGCTCAACAAGCTATAGCTTAGGGCCTCACTCTCTTGGGAGCCCCCCAAATAATTCAAGGGGAAAAAACTGGATGTACATTTCCAAAATATAAGATAAAAAAACAAAATAAAACCTACATACAGCAACAGTGTTTGTGTTGTGTAGGCTCCTATGATGTAAGTAATGGGCCCCACCTGCTAGCCTGCTCCCTAAAATATCACTAGTTTGCTCATTTCTATATACAGTATAGGGTGCCTACATTCTGCATGGACTGGTTGCATGGCAACATGTGCAAATGGCTTTAGATACCTATTAGGTCCATAAATTACCATATAGCATATATTCAACACAAAAAACAGCAACAATTTGTTGTTGACAAAGGACAGCTGGATATATAAAGGGCGCCATTACCTTCAGTAGCTTAGGGTCTCATCAAACCTAAATCCGGCCCTGGGGGGGGTGATGGCGGCTGAAATATGCTCAGAGTTGAGAGTAGATTTCATGCTCTTTATTCCGCTCATAGTGGTGAGGAGGAATGGAAGTTCCCCCAGATTATCTGCTTTATATACATTATTTACACAATGGGGCCCACGTGATTGGCTAATTCCGGGATTCTCCTGTTGGCCAATCAGGTTGCGGATTCACTTCCACCTGGAGCTGGATTGCGTGGCTCCTGTGGAAGAATCATACTGCTGCCTTCTGGATCCTATTGTTCTAGAACCAGACTGCTGCATTCTGAATCCTACTGTTCTAGGACCAATCAGACTGCTGCATTTTGGATCCTATTCAACTCTGTCCTTAAAGAAATGGGAGTGCCTGATCACCTCATCTGTCTCCTGAGAAATCTCTATGTGGGACAAGAAGCTACAGTTAGAACTGGATATGGAACAACTGACTGGTTCAAAATTGGGAAAGGAGTACGGCAAGGCTGTATATTGTCCCCCTGCTTATTTAACTTATATGCAGAATTCATCATGCGAGAGGCTGGGCTGGATGAATCCCAAGCCGGAATTAAGATCGCCGAAAGAAATATCAACAACCTCAGATATGCAGATGACACAACCTTGATGGCAGAAAGTGAGGATGAATTAAAGAACCTTTTAATGAGGGTGAAAGAGGAGAGCACAAAATATGGTCTGAAGCTCAGCATCAAAAAAACAAAGGTCATGGCCACTGGGCCCATCACCTCCTGGCAAATAGAAGGGGAAGAAATGGAGGCAGTGAGAGATTTTACTTTCTTGGGCTCCATGATTACTGCAGATGGTGACAGCAGTCACGAAATTAAAAGACGCCTGCTCCTTGGGAGAAAGGCGATGGCAAACCTAGACAGCATCTTAAAAAGCAGAGACATCACCTTGCCAACAAAGGTCCGTATAGTTAAAGCCATGCTTTTCCCAGTAGTGATGTATGGAAGTGAGAGCTGGACCATCAAGAAGGCTGATCGCCGAAGAATTGATGCTTTTGAATTATGGTGCTGGAGGGGACTCTTGAGAGTCCCATGGACTGCAAGAAGATAAAACCTCACCATTCTTAAGGAAATCAGCCCTGAGTGCTCACTGGAAGGACAGATCCTGAAGCTGAGGCTCCAATACCTTTGGCCGCCTCATGAGAAGAGAAGACTCCCTGGAAAAGACCCTGATATTGGGAAAGATGGAGGGCACAAGGAGAAGGGGACGACAGAGGACGAGATGGTGGGACAGTGTTCTCGAAGCTACGAACATGAGTCTGACCAAACTGCGGGAGGCAGTGGAAGACAGGAGGACCTGGCGTGCTCTGGTCCAGGGGGTCATGAAGAGTCCGACACGACTAAACAACAACAACAACAACATTCAACTCAGTACATAACAGCGGCCAACTTGGAGGGGTTTATAAAGGGGTGAGGCAAAAGTCATGGGGGACAAAGGCTATAGGGGACAAATATCTTGGACACATGACTGCTTTTGACCACGTCTCTCACTCGTGGGCTTCCCATAATGGGCACCTGGTTGGTCCCTGTGGATGCCGGACTGAATGGCCCCTTTGGCCTAATCTAATGAGAGAGCATAATTCTCATGCTCTCTCAGAGGCACTGACTCTGCTTGCCAGTCAGGCTGAACCTGTTGAATTGCCTGCCAGGCAACTATCCAAAGCATCGGAGCCCTGCTGCCAGGAATGCCACATTCACTTGGGACTCTTCCTTTTGTGGCTGCTATCTTGTTCTACGCGGGTGGCGCTGTGGGTAAAACCTCAGCGCCTAGGACTTGCCGATTGCATGGTCGGCGGTTCGAATCCCCGCGGCGGGGTGCGCTCCCGTTGTTCGGTCCCAGCGCCTGCCAACCTAGCAGTTCGAAAGCACCCTCGGGTGCAAGTAGATAAATAGGGACCGCTTACCAGCGGGAAGGTAAAAGGCGTTCCATGTGCTGCGCTGGCTCGCCAGATGCAGCTTGTCACGCTGGCCACGTGACCCGGAAGTGTCTGCAGACAGCGCTGGCTCCCGGCCTATAGAGTGAGATGAGCACACAACCCTAGAGTCTGGCAAGACTGGCCCGTACGGGCAGGGGTACCTTTACCTTTACCTTTTTATCTTGTTCTACACACCCACCCAGGACAGAACACTCCCTTCTGGCTTGGGGAAAGTGAAGAGAAAACAGATGAAGAGAAACCTCAATTCCTCCCGCCCCCATCCCTCGTATAAAGCGTCCCAAATGGCTGAATGGCTGCCTTTTGTGCCCTTAAACCTCTTGGGCTCACATTTGCAGCCTGATTCAGCTACAGGCCTCAGCTCAGTTTAACTCTCCTCTTAAAATCTGTATTCTTTTAATTAAATAAACCAGCTAGTTGATGGAATTTACTCTGTTTCCTTCCCTTGCAACCTTTCTTTTTGTGCAAAGGATTTTTCAACACTGGCTCAGGAAGCTGTTTCTGGACATTTGGGCAGATGGAGTGGAGATGTCAAACTTCTGCAACACATAGATACTTATCCAAGTTTGACAATGCTTTAAAATGTCATATTTATTCATATTTTCTGTGTGAAAGCTATGCGTATACTTTACTCGAATCCAGGATTACCCACCAGATCTGCCAATCGCCAAAATTAGTTTTTTCAGAAGACCATGTTCAAGTCAGTGGAAAAGAGCTCATCACTTTGACAATTGAAGACAGGCTAATATTTTATTTTTCAGCCAGCTGATAAGGCTAGAGAAATGGCAGGAAAGGGTGGCAGCATTATTTTTTCTGAAGCTGCTTTCCATTCAGAATTGTTACATCAGGGAACAACTGTAACTTATACTTTCAACAAGTCACATATTTTCTGGGACAAGGAGTGTCTGAATGGGAGAAAGAGAAAAAGCAGCACAGATTTTTCTGACATAAATTCTGTTTGTTAAGGCATTTCACTCTAAAGCTTTATAACTCTTAATTTGCTCTTTATTTCAAATGGGACTATTTCACAAGCTGCTATGGTTTTCTGTAACATGCCCATCCTGGAAACTACAGCATAGAAAAGGTTAGGGTGTCAATTGAGAGATAGCCTTTTCCCCTTTTATTTATTTTTTAGCTTGCTAGCTTTGTGCCTGGCGTGCTCTGGTCCATGGGGTCACGAAGAGTCGGACACGACTAAACAACAACAACAACAGCTTTGTTTTTTATTTTTTTATTTTGACTATGGCAGACCAACACGGCTACCCATCTGTAACTGGAGCTTTGTAATGGGCAATGATACTTAGCTGATGAGTTTAGCTGAAGATGCTTGCTTAATGGCTTCTGATCACTTGCTGTTTGTCAATGAATGCCAGTGACTGCTGACTGCTGACCTAGATGGGATGTAAATATAATAAAGCATTTTAATCACATCTGGAGATAAGTTGTGGATAGTATTTGGAACCACCATGCCTGCATTGCATTCTAATAAATTTCAAGCTGCAGTCTCCCTGCACCCTTCTTGCCCCCACAAAATAATCTCTGTCCCAAAAGTTGATTTTTCAATATTATTTTACTGAGGTTCATAAAAGATACGTCAAGAAGTACAATTAACACAAAGAAAAAATCAATAAACTGAATAAAATGCAAACTATTAACTATTCAGGTGGCCAGCCCAGGGTGTAGCTATGCAGCAGTAAGAAAAAAAAGGTCAATTGCACTGGAGAAATACCTTCAATCAGCAAAGTATGGTGTGTATGATCAATAAAGCATTAATCTCTCAATCAACACCCACTGTTCTAATTACCCAAATTTGACCATCAATAACGACTGGCACATTTATATTGCTTTGGTTGTTTGTTTGTTTTTCTTCCCCATGAGATTTCACATAAGAAAAAGCAAGTATCATAAAAGAACTATTCAAAATAATGAAGAAAGCCAACTATTCTGTTGCTGTGGAATGGTGAGAGGAGATGAGTGGCTGACACAATGGATGCTTGTTCCTTCCAGTGTTGCTGAGCCATGGCTTCTTAGTATTCTGGGAAGCTGCAGGCTATAAAGCAAGCCAGATAATGACCAGGGCACAAGTGATACAAGTCTTGTTTTGACGTTGCCCAAACACCAGTTAGGGCACATAATTGTGCTTACCATGCTGCAGTACAGGTGGCAAAGACGACACATTTTGCAAACTGCACTGCATCCTCAAATAGCCAGCCAGTGGAACACTTTCAGTCAGTCCAGAAGTTGCCAACTCCCAGTATGGGGAAGAACCCGTGTTATCCTTAAGGACCCACTAGCTATACTTTTGATGGATAAAGCCACTCTACTTTCAAGAGAACTTGACTTCGCAGTTGTTGCAGTTCCAACTGAAGTATTAAATGCCAAGCCATTCAATCAGGAAACCGTTTAAGAAATCACCAATTTCTTTGTATCAGGTAAAATGCTGTTCCTTCCATCTGTGCTAAAACTATTATTATTTATTATTATTTTTATCCCACCCTTCCTTCCAAAGGAGCCCAGGACAGCAAATGCACAAATGATAAATAAATCTAAAAATATTCCCAATGCTAATTACACAGAAAGAAGTTGCTTACATGGACATTATGGGATGAAAGCGGGAATGCTTACAGCATCTACCAGTTTTTTATTTTGATGGACAGTTCAACTGCCTTGCTTTCATTTTCATCTATACAGACAAAATTATTTGCAAAGGACATAGCACTGATATTTAAGAGATCTGGTCCATTTGCAGTATATTTTCCATGGCTGACATCTACACTCAGCTAACAATGGCAACTAGTGACAGAAGCAAAGTTGAATAATGGGGCAATGTACAAATGCTTATATATAGGTGCTTATGGGTCATTCCTTATATCTGAAGCTCCCTCAAAAAATTCTAACAAAGCCTGCTTTCCATTTGGAAGTGGAAAAGGCCAAGTTCTTTGGAAGAACTTAAATGGGCGAGAATCAGTTACTATACATTAAGGAGAAATAGTGCAGTGTTATTTATTTCACTAAAGGTTAGTTTTGTCATTTGTAACCTTTAATGAGTCCATGGATCCTACAGATTAGGGCTGCAAACCCTATACTCAGTTTCCTGGATACAAGCCTCACTGAACTCAATGAGACAACTTTTGAGTATGCATTTATAGTATTGTGCTGCAAGACTATAGTTGTGTGCACACTTAGTTAGGAATACATCCCTCAGACAGTAGGTTTGCTCAAGATTGGGTTGTGCATAGCTGTTTTTAATTTTTTGTTAATTATCTGTAGATATTTGCTCATGCTGGTGGCCAAGACGCTGTAGACATTTTGTCATCTCGCTTTTTGACGATGCAGTGACTTATTGATTGGTACCGTTGCCTCATCCATCACTGGCACACACTTGACTCAAAAGGTAGTGACACATTTGATTTCCTTCCACCCCCACGTTGCACAAAGGCTTAGAGCAGACTATTAAAAATAATGTACTGCCTGTATCTGAAGCAAATACTGTTGTCATCGTTACTTAAACCTTTTTGTGCACCAATCCTAAAAATGCTGACATGCCTATGTTGGTAAAATTGATGTGTCTGTACCAGAGCAAGTAGATGTAAGATGACATTGAGGTGTTTTTTTCCCTTTCTTTGTGTCATGCCCCACACTACCTCCTGTGGCACATGTAAATCACCTCCCGTAACATGCAAGCTCTTGAGTTTGTGCAAATACTCTTTACATTAATTTCTGTTTATCACATTTTTATCCCATACTTCTTTCAAGCTCAGAGCAATGTATGTGGGAGGTTGTATCATTTTATGTTCACAACAACCTCAGGGTCAGAGCTAAGGGTCTGAATATAGCCACACCCAAACACAATATGCTAGCTGCACTGTACATAAACAACCTTCAGTTATTTTGGTGGACCAAAAAGAAAGACTTGAATGACTAAGATGAAATAAAGTAACTAACAGAATTAATACTTCTAAAACCACCTAGTGATCTAACCCCCACTGCTGTCAATGCATTAAATCTGTTGCTATTGCATCCCTGATAGCTGACCATCCCCTCTCTGCAAATAAAGCTCTACCTTTCTTCAAGGTAGGCTGTTCACTGTTGAACAACTCTTACAATCACACCATTCTTCCTGTTTTGTTTATCTCCTTTTTCCTGCATTTTAAGTCATTCATTTGGTTCCTACCAACTGGATCAATGGAAAACCTATTTGCTCCATCATTTATGTGAGAGCCTTTGAACTACCGGTATTTGAAGCCTCTTTTCCAGGCTCAACACACCAAACACCTTCAACCTTTCCTCATTGTGACTTAGTCTCCAAGTCTCCCTCGCCATCTTTGTTGCTCTGCCATCACATTTGCTTTAATGTTGTATGCTTGTGCATTTTAAAGCCCTGCTATGTTAAAAGAAATTTGGAAGGATAAGATGCAAATATCCTAATAAGTATTTTGTTGTACCTTTTTTTTAAAAAAAAAACTAATTTAAAGTAACTCATCCTTGGTGATTCCTGTTTGAGTGAAAGCCAGCATAAAGAGTTGCCATCACACACACAGCCCACCCCCTCAGGGCTGCTATGCCTTGGAGAGATTTGTGCAGACTATAAGAACCGGGTGGCGCTGTGGGGATGCTGTGTGGAGGAGCTGGGACGTGGGTGGCGCTGTGGGTAAAACCTCAGTGCCTAGGACTTGCCAATCGTATGGTCGGCGGTTTGAATCCCCGCGGCGGGGTGAGCTTCCATCGTTCGGTCCCAGCTCCTGCTATTTATAGATAAATAGGTACCGCTTTATAGCGGGAAGGTAAACGGCATTTCCGTGTGCTGCGCTGGTGCTGGCTTGCCAGCTGCAGCTTCGTCACGCTGGCCACGTGACCCAGAAGTGTCTTCGGACGGCGCCGGCTCACGGCCTCTAGAGCGAGATGAGCGCACAACCCTAGAGTCGGAAACGACTGGCCCATACGGGCAGGGGTACCTTTACCTTTATAAGAACCATGGCCAAACACATGCACATGCATGCTGAGTACAGCACACCCCCCCCCCAGTGATTCTTAGATAACTGTCATTCAAATACATTTTGCCTTGGACAATGGAGATAGAACATAGCCATTATGGCTAATAGACACTGATACCCTTATCCTCCATGAATTTGTCTAATTCTCTTTTAAAGCCATCACTACCTCTTGTGGGAACTAATTCTATAGTTTATGTATGCACTGTGTGAAGAAGTACTTGTCTCTGTCCTAAATCTTCCTACCATGTATAATTCTATACACCTATGTCTCCTCTTACTCACCTTTTTTCTAAACTAAAAAGCCCCATATGTTGCAACTTTGTCCTCCTGATAATTTTGGTTGCCCTTTTCTGAACCCTTTCTAGCTCACGCAATATCCATTCTGAGGTGAAGTCACTAAAACTGTACATGCTTTTATTTTCAGTTCCTTTCCTAATGATTCTTAACGTGGAGTCTGCCTTTTTTTCAGCTGCTGCACAATGGATCAACATCTACATCGGAGTATCTGCTACAACCCCAGTGTTTTATTCCTGGGGAGGCACCACCAGTTCAGATCCTATGAGTGTATATGTGAAACTAGGATTCTTTGCCCCAGGTCCAGCCCTTTACACTTGTTTGCATTGAGTTGCATTTGTCATTTTACTTCCCGTCCCGCCAGTTAAGAGAAATCCTTTTGGAGTTCCTTGCAATCCCTTTTTGTACTTTGTCAAAAGCTTTTTGTAAGTCTAAGCACACATATTAAGCTATCAACATGCTTATTGACATTCCCAAAGGCATCTAAAGGGTTAGTGAAGAAGAAGCTGTAGTGGCACAATAATTCTGTATTTAATATTGCTTTCCAGCCTGTAACTGGGGAACTTTTGGCCATCCAGCTGTGGCTGAACAATAACTCCAATCTTTCCTTCCCATGGTTGCTGGGTCTAATGGGAGTTGTAGTTCTGCAACACCCAGAGGGCCAAACGATTCCTTTTTGAAAATTGATGCCACTTTTTCAGGTATGGAGGCTGATCTTAAGGATAAGTTGCATGTTTTTGTTACAAAGCCAACAGGAGAAGTCGAAGCAACACAGCATCTGGTGGAGCCTCCCGGACCGGGCTATTCTGAGGGTGCCAGAAGGCTCGGGGTTGCTTTTCCTCGGCTGGCCCTCTGGAAAGAAGCGACGCCTCCCCTTCCCGCCGAGACTCAAGACTAACTGAGGCAGCCGGTCTGCTCCGGAACGTTTGAGCCGGAGTTGAAACCCCGCGCCCCTCCTGGGTGCCCTTACGCGGTCCCGCTGCGCTCAGAGCGGCGCTTACTCCCAAGGAAGCCGGCCGGAGCCCAGGTCCCTGAAGCGCGCCTGCGGGAGGAAGTAGCGCCGGGGCCGCCCGCCCACCTGGGCTTCCCGGCTCCTCGGCGCCCGCTTCTTCGCCCGCTGAGGAGAGAAGAGGCGGCCGGGACCTGGCGAGGAGACGAGGCCGACCGCCGGAGAAGCAGCGCCCGCTTTCTCCCTGCTCCACGTCTTTACCTCACAGAGGCTAAGTGAGGGCCGCTGGCCTCATTAAGGCGGCGGCAGCAGCAGCAGCACCACTCGTCAGGCAGAGAAGGGTTAATCGCCGCCGCGCTCTTCGCGGCGCTGCTGCTGAGGTTGCTGTTGCCGCCGCCAAGCGCGGAGGGATACAGAGCAGGAACCTTGAACGTGGCGGTGCTGAGGCCCCGAAGCCCAAAAATGTCTGCCTGAGGGGAGGCCCCGCAAGTTCCGTCGAGACGGGGCGGGGGAGCAAGGAAGGCAGACGGGCAGGCGCGGGCGGGGGAAGGAAAGGGAGGCCGCGGGCGGCAGTCGACGGAGCGGCCGAGCGCGAAGAGGGCAGGAGGAAGAAAGAAAAGGAAGGACGCGCTGAGGGAGAGGAGAGCGCGCGGCATTCTCGCCCCTCCGCTCCGTCTTCCTCCGCTGCTGCTGCTTCTCTCCTGACTGACTCCGGGGCGGTGGTGACGCTGCCGCCGCCGCCGCCGCCTTAGAAGGAGAAGAGCCACTTGGAGCCGGGCAGCGGGGCCGGGAACCGGGTAAAGGCAGGCAGGCGTCACGGAGGGAGGGAGCGGGAGAAGCGGGCAGGGGTGGGGACCGAGGGGAAGGGAAGCCGGTGGCGGCCGGAGGGGGCTCCCTCCCCGCTCGGAGGGAGGAGAAGCGGGGACGCGCACGGCCCGGGGCGCGCGCCTGGGCAGTATCGCGCCCGGTGCTGAGAGGCTCCGGCGCCCTTTTTGGGGAGGCGGCCGGGGCCGCGGGATGATGGGCGGGCAGGAGACCCCCTCTCGGCGCGGGGGCGGCAGGGCTGCTCCTCTGGCTCTTCCGCGCGGGCCGGCGGGGTTGTTCCAGGAAGCGCGGCCCCTGTTCCTCCCCACACGCCGCGCTCTCCAGTTCTCTTTCCCGCGAGAAACCCCTTAAACTTCGGGTTCCTGGCGGCGCGGAAGCGGCAGGCGGAGAGGTGGGCGAGAGACTTATTGTTCGCAGCCTGGTCGAGGGGAGGGAGTCGAGCGCCTGCCCGCCTTTCCATCGGCCCACCCGCTCACTTCCCCGCTCGGCCTGCTTGGAGGACTTTGCCTCCGCTTCGTTCTTCCCCTTCGGGGCTGCTCCTGTTAGGCAGCCCCTCTTGCCCGCTTCCCGAGCCCGGGCTTGCAGCTCAGCGGCGCGCCTTTCTTCCCCAAGGCGAGGATTACATTCTGTTGGATGCGAACATCTCTGGGATGGAGGAGGGAGGGAGGAAAGAAACTTCCACGGAGTTGGCTCTGCTGCTGCTGCTGCTGCTTTGGGGTGCCTTTGAGATGCGGGGGAAAGGAGAAAGAATGATCTTTGGCTTTGCGAGGGGCTGCTCAAGGCTGAGGGATGCCGTCCTCCTTGTTTTGGTTAACGCGCCTCTTCCTTTCCCTTTTGTTGCAGCTTAGGACCCTCCGTAAGTGGATGAAGATGAATCCTCAGCAGCAGCGGATGGCCGCTATAGGGACAGACAAGGAATTGAGCGACCTGCTGGACTTCAGCGCGGTAGGATATTCTTCGAAGTCTTCTTATGGCTTCTCCACGGTAAAGCGGACCGAGAAGTGGGGCAGCTGCGTGCAGGGCTCGGTTGCTTCTGGCTCAGCCAAAGGGGAAACTTGGATGTAATAACTAAACTCCCGTATTGAAGGCTCTGGGTCAGTCATCTTAACTGGTTAAAATCCAGCTGACCCATAGATAGCCATTGGATAGCTCTTCTCGTTTGTTTTCTACAGATAGCTCAAAGGGTGTTTGTTTTTTCTGTAAAAATGCAGTGTAGGTAATGGGGAGGGGGACCCCAAGCAGCTTAATCCTAATCCTATTTGCTCAGAAGAGTGGGACCTGCCTTCATGTATCCATAATTAGGGTTGTAGTCTCGGTTCAATTCTGCGCATGTTTGCTCAGAAGTAAACCTCATTGAGTTGAATTGGACTTACTCTCAGGTAAGTCTGTGTAGGATTGCAGCCCTAGTATCTTTACTCCTGTTTTGCACTGTAATATTAGATTGGAAGCAAGTCATGATGTCCCACAATGTCTAACATTATTATTTTTTAAAATCAAGTGTATTTTGTGAAAGTAAAATACAGAATACTTACTTGGCTTTGTTAGGTTATCCTGCTCTTGTAGTATTTTGACCAATAGACCTATTATATTGAGTAATAAACTGGATATGTTACTGACCTTAAAAATTGTACCACTAATTCTCTGTGTTATGAAACATTTTTAAGCACAGTTAATGCTATTAATTTTTCTGTGAATGTATTCCCAGCTTTTTTTACATTCCAAATATACATAACTGAATTAGTTTTCATTCCATGCTGACTGAAATGCATCCACTTGTTTTGCAGATGTTTTCTCCACCTCTTAATAGTGGGAAAACTAGACCAACAACACTAGGAAGCAGCCAGTTCAGTGGATCAGGTAAGAGGCATCTGAAAAACATAAAAGTTCAAGAGCAATGCTGTTGTATTATGTTATATATAAAATCTTTGTGGATGACAAACCTTTGTGGATGAAATATATAGTTTTCAAGGAGTTAAAACAAATGCAGTATAAACACTTTAAAAATGAGTTAGTTTTCTGCTGGAATCTCTAGTTTGTTGATGCTGTGGAATGAGTTTAAAGGTTAATTCAATTGAGAATATTGGGTTTGCAGGAAGACAGGTATTCGTGAAAATGTGGATATTCAGTTTTTTTGTCAGTAATTTGGGATTATATTATTTCTTTTGAATTTTAAAAAACTTTTAGTGATTTAAGTAACACTAACATAAATTCAGAATATTGAAGTTGAAAGCCTTTTGTGTAATGTATACAAAATTAAGGCATAAAGCAAGACTAGAATAAAGTACAGCTAAATAGGGAAAACAGTGTTTCGTTTCTAGAGTTCACCTGGTCAAATTAAGTAGGAAAAGAGAGGCAAATGTATAATGTATATTGACCAGATTGAACAGATGTGTATTTATGTGTGCATAAACCATTTAAATTGGGAGATTAAGTATTTGCTGAGGAAATAAAATTTGAAATTGAGTTGTATTGAAGATAATGCTTTTCTTTAAAAATGCTGTAAATTGCAATGGCAGCAGTGCAGAGCTGTTATTCTGTGTTCCAGTGCTCCTACAACCTTGTGCCTAAAACATGTTTTCTGGCATTCTTCTCTCCTGCATATGTTACGTATACTTTCATATCCTACTTTAAATTCACTGTAGGCATAATTGAGCTGCAGATTTAAAATAGATGACTATTTTAGTTTGACCAGTGTAGAATGATATGAGATTGCATTATTGGAAAGCATTTTCGGAGAATTGTGTTGATCTGTTGTAATTGTTGTCTTTTATAGATAAGGAAAATAAAACATATTATTAAATGCTACATTATTAGTTTTGGAAGCACTGTTGCATTTTTATTTGTGTTGACTTCTAATTGTCAGGGGTAATCTAGTAAGTATTTCCATAATCTAACTGGGAATCTGAGTCTTGTCCTTCCTCACAAATCTTTGGTATTCTATCTAAACTTGAATTACCCAAGGAGATTAACTTTTGAATGGCTAAAAAGCAAGCCGGTCTGTCTACTAGTTTTGAGTCTTTTAATATTGTTGCAGCCAAGTCTGAATTAAACTCTCAATGAAAGTTTTGTTGAATGAAAATTAATATTTAGATTGCTGTTGGATAATTTTAAAAAGGTTTTGATATATTTCATAATAGACCCAGTGTAGACATAATGCTTTCTGGTGTCTAATCATAGTGAAGTGATTTGGAGTGCCTTGTGTGCTTGCAGTTTTCTTTGTCATGTGGACATTTCTTCCCCTACTTCATTTAAGAAATAACTATTAATAGCATTGTATCTACATCACTGATGTTGTTAATCATAGTTAAACCAAACATAACTTTCAGACTTGTAACTATGGTTATTGGACTGCTGCTGGAGAATACAGATAAAGAAACATAACTGTGTTTTAATTTTCCTGTACAGCTTGATGTGGAGTTGCAAGTATATGCCATTTTTCTTTGGGAAATGAATATGGCTGCAAACAGGAAGCTTCCCAAGGCCTTCTAATTTCCTAGAAAATAGCAGCTGCAAGCAGCTGCAATTGTACCATAGTATACACAGTTTTCTGAAGCAGAGTTATGGAAGCAGAGAATGACAATCTGTTTTTCAGCATAAATATGTGATAGGCTTATTGTATTGAAATATATGCCATATTTATGATATAACCTTAAACATATATTTTGAGAGGTTTGTCTATAATTTCAAAATGTCTGGATTTCATGTTCACAAGTAACCCTCACGCCCGCGTCCTTCCTGTTAAATATTAATGTAAATCTTCTGGATCTCAGTAGTGGTTTTGTGCTTTGTGCTCAATTTGTTAAAAACCTGTTACATGAACCTGAATGGATTTGTCTCTTTCAAAAGCCTATAATCTAAAACTGAGACTTGACAAACTCTTCCAGTAGTTGAATTTTATGTGCATGTGAGAGACATTAATTTTTTAACTTGTTGCAAATAATTCGCAGTCACATGAAGTAAGTTTGGAATCCTGTGCACATTTATATCAGAATAAGTCACACTGAATACTCAGTGACTACTTTAAAAAGTCAACATGGAAGATTGTGGCTGTAAAATTTACTACAGACATTAAGGTTCAGTTATCATCTACAGAAAACTTTCATCATTTGTGTCTTGCTGATGGTGAAATAAGTTCTGCTACTAAGAAGAGCCCTGATAGATCAGGCCAAAAGCATATCATGTCCAGCATCCTGTTCTCACAGTGGCCAACCAGATGCTTATGGGAAGCCTGCAAGCAAGACCCAAGTGAGATTCAGAGGTCTATTGCCTCGGACAGTGGAGGCAGAACATAACCACCATAGCTAGTAGACATTGACATTCATATTAATGAATTTGTTTAACCCCCTTTCAAAGCCACCCAAATTGGAGGGCATGGCTACCTCTTGTGGGAGCAAATTCCATAGTATAACTCTATGCTGTGTGAAGAAATACTTTTTTTGTCTCCCCTGAATCCTCCAACGTTCAACTTCATTAGATGGTTGCAGCTTCTAGTATTATGAGAGAGGGAGAAAAACTTCCAATCTGCTTTCACTACATCATACATAAACTCTATCATGCCCCCTTAATCCTCCCCCCCAAAACTAAAAAGCCCCAGGTGTTGTAACTTTTCGTCATGGAGTTGTTCCAGCCCCTTTATTATTTTGGTTGCCTTTTTCTGAAAAAAATCCATCTCTAAAATAACCTTTTTTTGAGGTGAGGTAACCATAACACAGATCACATAATACTAATTCTGTTATGACTATGCTGGCTGGCTGTAGATTTCCAAGCCCAATTCAAAGTGCTGGTTTTAACCCATAAAACTCTTTATGGCTAAGGATCCAAATAAATTCTG